GGCTACAAACTACGCAAATAAATTATAACCTCGGTCATAAACCTCTCGGAAAATGAAAGATTTTTTTTCAATAATGGGCAGAGTGTTTATCGAGCGTAGAACGAAAAACTCTCCTCGTCATCATTAAAGTAACAAATATTCGCCGTAGGAAATAAGCATTGTAATTATGCAAATCCGACGATAAAACAAATAAACGTAAATGTCGGTATACAATAATGAAGAAGCGGCTGCATACGTAGCTAAGCTCCACAAAAGGATTATCATTAAACTTTCCTTTCGCTTGGGAGCGCAGACGTACAAGTTCTTATTAGCTCCAAAAAATCACGTAACCAGAAACCAGAAACTCCTCCTTCGCTCTTTCTCTACTGTCGGTCACTCGCTCGTTATTAAACTTCTTCCCACATGACGGGGGTTCGAAGCTCATCCGCGACTTTTCTTTCGCGTCGATGGAGCCGGTGTAAGGATGATTTACGGTGTAGGCCTACGGGATCTCGCGAGTGCGGTGCCGTCACGGTATTTCCAGTCCGTTTACGCTTTTCTTCTTCCAGCCTTAATTATAACGTTTAATTAACTCAAACCTTCGCGAGCCCCGCTGCAACGCAAACACGCGGGGGTCCCACCGAGTCACCCCGACTCCGACCGCTTCCGCAAGGGGCGAAGCTTCTGTGTTTTATACTGGCGAATCTTTTTTATATTATCGGATAATGCTATACATCCTTACATCACTACAAATCTCGGCGTCGTTTCTCACTTTACGAACGTTAATAACGATATCGCGGTATCTACGCTTCCGTGTTAATGGACTGTAATATTTCAGATAAAAGTTATTATTTGTTCTGGCATTTTTATATATCATTTTTATATATAAAGGATATATCGCACAATCCCACAATACTAAATAGCAAATTCTTATTCTTTTCTTTTATTGTTTTTACTTTTTTTTTCTCGAAATAATTAATTATTCTCAATTTCATTGACTTTTCACGACAATCGATGCACTCACCTGTTGGCTTGTTCACTACTATTTATTATCTTAGCGCCTCTTCTTTGCCCTCCTTTCAGTAATAATTCAAAAACAATTTGCACTCGAGATATATGAGTTTATCCACACGCATTTATGTATAGTAGCGATGAAACATTCGCTGTCTATGCCTGAAGGTATTGCTAGATAAAGGGAACGATAATCATCGATACTTTATGTTTCTATAATGATGCATAAGAGCCTATGAGTAGACATATAAAAATAACATAATATTTGATATTTGCTTTCGTTTCTCGCAATTTACGATTCCCATCATAATGAGGCGACTTAGCCATCGCATGTTACGCATAACTATAGTGTAAATGTCACTTGCATAAACCAACATAAAACATATATTACAGTGTATACTTACGCGTGCTTATAAATACATGAATAGTCAGTCTATCTGGTTGGTCGATTGCGTAATCGTACGTTGCCGCCGGCACTGAGTGGAAAGCAAAAGGCCAAGAGGACGATCCTTGCCGAGCTTTCTACACCCTCGCTTCGTCTTTCTCTATCTCATCGACGGCGCCTTCGGCGTTCGCACGATAATTGTGCATCGGAGCTCTCGTCAGACGCGCGATCGTCATCTCCTTTAACCGAGCAGCAAGTCGATGCATTATAACTATGCTGCTCGATAACCGCTCCTGCCCCTCCCCCCTCCCCTCCTCATCATCCTCATCATCCTCCTCCTCCTCCTCGTCCTCCTCGTGCCCCGCCATCATCTCCTCCATCACTTGTGACGGTGTGAGAGCGCTTTGTTTATGTTCTTATTGTCGGCTAAATCATTTTCTTGCGCCTTGGCTCTTACGCAAGTCGCATGGCAGATGATCTAACATTCACTACGAACTAAACGTTATTGTTTTTAATGTGTCGTTGTTTGTCTATATCTACGTGCTGTTGTATGGTATTGCGAGTCAAGGATCGTTTCAAACAAATTCTCGGTAAATGATTTTTCATCGTACGTGATTTCTAGACGTGAAGCAATTGGCAAAGTCATGAAGTGGTATCGTGAAGCGAGAGAGTTCATAATGTCTGAGAGATTGTAGCGTACAAATTAGAGTACGAAAATATCAGCCGTAGGAATAAACAGACTGTCGTAGTTCTTCTCATTATGATCCATAAAAACCTTCTTGCAATTACACAACTATTTTTGTAATTTCAAATCGATAAACAGACTGCGCGTTGTCGATTTTATCTTAGAGGAATATTACCATATTCTCGTCAATTACGTCATATATGTGAATCATGATTGGATTGGTAATTTTATCTTTAAAATGCTAGGGCATGTAAATTAATTCTTTGATTCGGAAAAAAGTATAGATACTTTGAGAATATTTTATTAGCGAACATCGAACAAATTCGTCGTAATCATTACAAAAAAATATAAAAGAAAATAAATGTTGTCAGGGCTCGATTGGGCAACGCCATTGCATCGACATTAAAATTCACTTATACCGCCTTCGTTAAAACAAATTTATACCTAAGAGTGTCTTTATTAGGAATATTCAGTATACGCTGTTATTATGCAAGCTTTAAGTTCAATGATTAAAGCAAATAATGCACTATAAAAAGTTATTTTACACGCGATTCTATAAGGAATTGTAATTTTTCGAACGTAAAATCGAGGATATCGGGATTTGTACATCCAATAATTGACCAACTCCCATAATAATAAAGTTATTCTTTATGTTTCCTTAATGCTTTGATGTTTAACAAAACATCGATTAACATCAACCATCAATACGACAAACACAAGGAGCAAAAAATAGCAACACCTCAGTAACACCATATATCAACGCCTTCGATTTCATCAAATGCTGAATTCTAGAAAGCTCGCGTTTGCTAGCGCAATGCAAGTTATTTCAATTCTCGATGTGTGAAAATAATGATACGCGGACAAATGTGTCGGCTCGATCGGCATTTTTCGCCTTGGCGTAAAATTACGATTTCGATTACGGGGACGGCTAATCAAGGACTAAAGCCACCTATGTCTCGCTCCGGTTTTTTAATGGCATCCTGTGAGTGACTTCCAATGCAAGGGAAAAGTACTGCCATTACCTATCCTGCGCTATGGAGGTGGAAGTAGACAAGTAGACACGTAAAAAATGGACGAACGAGAATGCGTGTAGAAGCGGGTAATGGGCCTTGTGGGCCTTTCGATTCGCGCGCATTCGTCGTTTCGAGACTAGCGCAACTTCCGTTCTCCGGATGGGTTTCCACGCTGTGCGCTCAGTCTCGCCGCTAAACTGCCATTTGTCAGAAGGTTATTAGAAGCGAGCACGCGCTACCCACAATCGTGCTCACTGCGAAATGAGCCTCCCATCTTGATCAATGGTTAGCATTTTGTTCTTTACCCTACTTTTAGTCGCTCAAATAACTTGAGTCTACCTACTTTATGATAAATGATTATTATAAAAGGTTTTTCTTCGGATTCTTTCGGCGGTATATTGCGCTTTCATTTACGATCGAATCTTTTTTTTTTTTGCCCGCTGCGTTGACGTTTTAGAGCATCGTTAATCGTGGCATTCGCTTTTTTCTTTCTTTTTTCCCCCTTTTTTCTTGTTTTTATTTTAATGGTGCAATTAAAATTTATAAGTATCGGAATGAATGATTCCGAATTTTTCATGGTAATGTTGTCACTGCAATAAACGTCGATTTTGAAAATTTGCATTTTATGGTGTGAAGTGTAATTTCAATATCTATCGATTTTTATCCATAAAAAAATACGGCTTTTATAATTACTTTGTGTTCTTATATAATCGGCCGTGAAAAGCTCATTGTATGCAAATTAAGTGCCTATAATTCCGTGAAAATTGACTTATATGTAAGATATACGTGGCGAACGAAAGGTCTTATTAATATGTTTCTACAAATTCGCATGCTTACGCATTGATATATATTTGAAATGACACGCACTGTTCGCAAATTATGATATTTCTAAAGTAATTGAGATTTTTAAAAATAAGATGAAAAAAAAACCATTACCTTATTAACGCAATATAAATTGTTTCGTTAAATTTGAAATTTTGTAATAAAACTTTCTAGATATATATATATATATATATATATATATATTTATATAGAACGCACTTTTAAGTACTTTATTGTCTCTTTTCCCACGAAGTCAGATTAAACATGCAAACACACTATCGTAAAAGTCTTGTGCTCATCGTAACTTAAATCCATATAAAACTTTGACCTTTACATTCTCTTTTGTTTTCTTGCACAATTAATGAGTGATTAATTGCAAAAGCTCACCCTATATTAATACTCTATACGCTATAATACTATATTAAATCGAAGCTATTTGGATCCGTCGGCATTGAGCAATTTTCTTATTTTTTCTATTTTAGTAAATAAAAATAGCCTGGTATAAATAGATACACAAAATATATCATACGTTTATAGAAAATCCGTGCTGCATGTATTTGTTGTTATTATTATTATTATTATTATTATTTTGTTTTATATAATAATGGTATTCGCATTACTTAGTCGCTCTATACAAATCATGAGCGAATAAGGATTTTTGCGCTAAATATTTTTATCTAAATATCATTAAGCACTATCCATTGCATATGAAAAATTCCAAATACGCAACACTTGTAAAGAAGGTTGGAAAACAAATTATAACGATTAAGTACTTAGATCGGAGGAGTGCCTAAATATCAAAATAGCGACGAAAAAGCAATAAGGCAAATGAAATTATGCGCTCGGCTGGACGGCCCACTAATTAAACATCATTATTTAAAAAAAAAAAAGTACAATGCACTCGGCCAAGTTGATAAACAAAGCGCGAGGCCATTGTTCAAAACGAGCCTTTCGCCTTTCAGGCAAGACGCGGAAGCAGGTCACCTCTAACACGCCCCATTAAAATAGCCCCCTCTCCTCGCATTGTCGAATAATTGTTGTTTTTTATATTAACGAAAGCCGAGTTCGTGGGACGGTTAAGATAACGGGGATGTTTGCTTCGCAGGCGACAACCGGTACCGGATTCTTCGAGGTGCAGATCCTCTCGCTGACGAACAATCGAGGCACGCTGGTGGATGGGCGATGCTGCGGCGGGGGCAGGAGCAGCAGCCAGCAGTATCACCCGTGCACATCGCCCTGCACTACCACCTTCTGGCTCTGCCTCAAGGAGTACCAGTCCAACGTAACAGCCATTGGCTCATGCAGCTTCGGCAATGTATCTAGTCAGGCCCTCGGCCAGAACACATTCACCCTCACCGAGCCTGTCACCCTTCAGTTACACTTCACCTTCCGATGGACGGTCAGTAATTAAATCTGTCCTTTTATTAATACGTCTCGACAGCGGCTTCCTTCATTGATTCGAAAGCGTGGAAAATTTTTACTCGATCGCTTAACAAAGTGGCCGGTTTTTATGACGTTGCTTACGCGTCTCGCTGCACTCGCTGCGACCGAGATCATTCGGCGAACGGGAAAATTGGATAAGTAGTCTTCAAAATATCGTGATGAAATACGAAGTTTCGAGAATTAAAGCCGAGCATGTAGTCATCAGGAATTAAGAGGACGATTTATAATCTTATAAACATTCACTCGCGCGCTTATAAGGTTACATTGTCGAAGAAAGCAACGAATCTTTATTTAGTGATTGGATTTTTGATAATTGCAAATGTCAGTAGTTGGCATTCGACAGACAGCATTGACGTGTTGATTGATTGAGTTAAACCTTTTATTTGCAATACAATTTTATGTAAAATAAAAAATTATGCAACTACTATATTACTATATTTACATAATACGTGTGATCGAATGTGAGAAGATATGTGTGTGGGTGATGGGTGCGTGTGCGTGTGCGTGTGTATGCACGTGCGTGTGTTAGGTTCGTGACAAGCCATTTGCTAGACTGTTACGCGATACGTCAATAATCAGTATGAAGATAGAAAACGAGTAGAAAAAAAAAACTATTAATAAGAAATGAAAGATGAACGAGCATATAGTATAACGCATAATTTACGCGGATAATCTACAGATGGCAATTTAATGAAATACAATTACATTTGGAGTAACTCAAGCCTCAAATGTTCCTGTAAATTCTTCAAATACTTGAATGGCGTAAAAAGTCACAATTAAAAATGTAACTTATCGATCAAATTCATCAAATAACATATAAATAAGAGTACAAGAATTTGCACGTAAATAAAATATGCTAGAGTTATGCTCAAAATTAGGAATGCTACTTGAAACAAATCTCACATAATTCTTATTTTACTTAACACACGAGTCTTCCACTAAATTTAAAATTGAAGCAATAAAAAATAAAGCAGAACTCAGGCTTATAAAAGAGCTCAGCCGTATAAAAGAACGGTACAACGAAAAAGTGGCAGAAGTGAAAAAAAAATAAGCGAGGAGGCTGAAAAAAGCGGAAGAATTTCGAGAGGGTCGCTGGTCCCCGCAGTCACCCTGTCCTCATGCGCATGCCTACGTAAACGTATTAAACGCATTAAACGCAAAAGTAAAGACGCACTAAGGAGTAAAAAGTATTTGGATAGGAGCCACGCTCGCGAAATCCTTTGCATTCGCGTTGGGCATTTCGTAACTCGCTCTATTCCTCTCGACGGATGCGCAAGTGGGCTGCTTTTTAAGATTCTCATGTTTACGAATCGGAGTTTCCTCGCTCCCTTTAAGTTTTTTCTCCTCTCTTCCGCGAAGAAGAATCACCGGTCGGGCATATAAACGCAGGGACCTTGAAGCAGTGGAAGTAGGGGCAGCACTAGCAGTAGCAGAATCAACAACAACAGCAGCAGCATCAGCAGCATCAGCAGCAGCAACAGTAGCAGCAGCAGTCAACACGGGGAAAAAACAAAATGAGAACAAAAGAAGAGGGAAAACAAGATCACCCAAGCGAGCTGCAATTGCTTCGGTTCACACGAGACGTACAGCACGATCGTACACATTTACCCATTCGTCCTCCTATGGAACTACACACAGAGTCTACGCGTCAACGTCAATAAATAAATAAATAAATATATACATATGCACAGCAGATAAATGTATATAAATTAACGCCACAGACATTTAGAGATTTTTTTACATTCTATGATTTTATTTAATTTCTTGTATGTGCGAAATGTCTGTCTATAAACATAAAGTAATAAAACGTAAATAATAAAGGCATATTTATAGGGGAAAAAAATTGAGAGCAAAGAGTGAAGTTGAAGGGAGGAAAGCAGGCATACGCCTTGATAAATGCCCGGATGCGATCTCTCGCGTTATCTTCGCCTCTTGCTCTCTCTTTCTCTCTCTCTCTCTCTCTCTCTCTACACATGGCTTGTCGCTTCGACTTCACTTCGTTCTGATTTATCTAGTTGCTCTTTTTGTTTGTTTGTTTTTTTCGTTCCATTTGCTTCAGGCCACGTCGAATACTTCAGGTGCCGTGTGTGTTCAATAATTTTTCAGCCAAAACGTTGTTTGCTCACGAAATATTGAAGAGCCGTGCCTTAAAAAAACGAGAAGCTACTCCGGGTTGTATTGTGGACCGAACTAGGACTAGCTGGAAATGGTATTATCCTTCGTATTCATGGTATAAATTAGTCGAATATTTTGTAGTGTCCTTCATTTCATCTGCTTCCTCATCATCCTATCCTTTTCATTCGTCATGTTCTTTACTTCTTCTTTTTGTTGAATAGGTACACTAGTGAACGAGAGCAATTATCATATACAACCTTACCGGTACATACATTCAAGATTTTTTTCTCTTATTTTAGCTACACATCTGTATTTTTGTGCGTAAAAAATTGCTGGAAAGGTAACTACAACTTTAATTTCTGAATATTAATATGTATGGTCGGAGCACGAAGTGCCTCATTAGGATTCATCAGTCCTCGTAGAAAAATTGGAGGGGTAACAAAAACCGGCTAAAGCGAGAACGAATGGTGCTATAACGAGGCTTTGATATTGCGCAATAGCGCACCATCACGCTCGAAATCCTCTTTAAATGGAAATAAAATCGTTTCTCTTCCTAGCGTGTCATCGCGCGCGATAGATCCTCGGACCAGTGGCTCAGCAAAATGGAAACAGTAAGTTTTATCGGTCGCTCCTCCTAGATTTAGAGTCTTCTCCGCCCACAAGAGAAATCGAGCTCCTAAATCCCCGTGGATTTGTTTTTTCTTTCTTTCTTTTCTGTCCTGTCATCTCTTTCGCCTGCACACTCTTTGGACTCGGACTGGTATGTCAGAAGCTTTATATAGCGTAAAATGTGTCTACGATTAATCTTTCTGAAGACCAGTGGCAGAATTGAGTAATGACCCTTATGTGTAAAGGGAAACGCGGGGAAACACAGAGATGGGCAGATATATATATATATATATATATATATATATATATATAGAGAGAGAGAGAGAGAGAGAGAGAGAGAGAAAGAGAGAGAGACGTAATACTCGCGGCCACTTTTTAACCCTTGGATGATTGAGTGGTTTCAAGGGATTTCATAATTTTGTTTCGCCCAACATAATTTTTCAATATTCTTATTCTTTAATGATCTATTATAACCAAGATATATCTAGTTTTTAATTTTTAGCTGAAATCAAACTAAGTTATATTTATTTGACGCATACAATTATAGTAATTTTCTGCCAATATTTAATTTAACATACACTTCAAGATATGAACAATTCTTAGTAACTATTCCACGCATGAATGCTTATGTAATTTATACTTCAATCATTTTAACTACTTTTGCCTACATTATTTCGTAAAACATTCGGCAAAATTGCTAAATATGACTCGAGCGTGATTAATGAAGATTATTTAATTTCTTATCAACAAAGTACCCAGAAATTTCAACAAAGATGATGTTAAAGGACGATGAGACGTTTTGAGTATACATTAGGTAATAAAGTTGGATATTTTGTTGCTTATTCGATTGAAGAATATTGTTATGGAGAAAACACCATTTACCGATAATTGAACAAAGAGTCATGCATCCTTTGTCTCTAGCAAGTGCTCATACATGCTGCACCTAGATTCCAAAGTTCACGAATATGTGAACATTCCATTGATATGGTAGCCCGAGACTTAAAAACTTTCAATTCAAACTAATAGCTAATAAAAAAAGTTTCGGATTTCATTGCACTACTCTCCCCGTAAAATTAAGTTAAAATCCGCTACCGTAGTTTAAGAAAAGGCTGGGAAGCGAGTCCTAAATTTGGGTCGCTCGTTGCCTCGTGAAATAAGATTGGCGAGAAAAAGGTCTAAATCTGCTTATAGTCCAGTTATTCCCCCTCTCTCTCTCTCTCTCTCTCTCTCTCTCTCTATATATATATATATATATATATATATATATATATATATATATATATATATATCGGCTCAGTACAGCTCAGCACGGCTCAGCTCGGCAGAGTTCGGCTCGGTCCCTCAGTCTCAATCTCTCAGAGGTAGCCAAAAGCCCCAGGGCAATGATTCTCATTAGCGCGTTCGTCGACACTGTGCTCCCCAGCAGGATTTACAGCCTGTCGAATCTCCGCGGTTCGCCGAAATATGGCGGCGGCGCGGTCGAGGCGGTATCCTCTAAAGTCATTCGGTCTCTGCGGTTGCTTTTTTTTTGCACCTTCTCGTTCGCTCTTTTTCTCATTCCCTTTTTGCATTCTTCTCTTTGCGTACGTGTATACGCCTCGCGCGGTCTATGCGTCTCCTTTCGGCGCGATAAATATTAATTCCTTTTTTATATGCCTCTAAATTAATTTAATTAGTTTTTTCGCTTAGCCTCTCCTTTGTCGTTGCGACAGACGAGGGTTTATTAATTAATTTATTTGGACAATAATTTCAGGTGTATATGACATTTTCCTCTTAAATTACACCAACACATTATATTTATAAATCAAAATAAACAAACAAAATTTACTTAAATGAAAATAACTACTTCCGTGGGAATGTATTCTATCAAAATATCTGTATTAATTAAGAAATTTTCCCATTCCATTTATCTTAGTTTAACCAAGAGGCTTTGTGAAAGAAACGTCTCAATATTTGTATATTGTATTGAATACGTAGGTTTTTAGGCTGAAATTTGAATAATTTTCGACTTGTCGAATTTAAAGGTTTGGAATAGGGCGATTGTAATGTAAAATAGTAAGGAATTTTATATCTGAAATTACAAATTACAAACTCTTACTTCCACGTGTGTGCGAAGAAACCAATAAAATTTCTGGTTTCGACATAATAAAAGCTTTAACGTCGATTTCAGTTATGCCATAAATAAAGCACGCAAAGGGGCACTTTAAAAAAAAAACTTTCATACAAGTCGAG